ATTGTCTCTGAGTTCCTCCTCAAGGACACAAATTTTGAATTCAATATCAATATAATTATGGCAATGGGTACTTTAAAAATGAAAAATAGAAAATATATATTTCAGATGAAAACAAGTATATTAAAAGTATTAGACTGAAAGGAGTGATCGTAGTTACTGTTCATTTCACACATGCTGAGGCCAGTCATGCTCATTCCAGTAGCCGTAATGAAAATCAATGGTGATTAATTCTTTTATTCTAAACTGTTTTTCCAAACTTATGATTGCCTCAATGCGCTTGTTACCTTTGATATTTCTTTTCAAAAAGGGATTTTTTATTCAGAATTTGATCTGTACAATCAGAAAATACCTTTCACTCTGTCATGGGAGGTGAAAGCAAACACACAATTCTTTTGTGTTCGGTCAGCGGTAACTCCGAAATTTGTCGGCGAAACAATGGCTTCCAAAATTTTAAAAAGCTCTCTGTGCAGCTTATGCTCCACGACTACCTGCCAGGCGTGTTTTACGGAAAATCGTGGAGACATTTGTCGCCGAAATGTCTTAAGCCAATCCATGGCTTGAAGCATTGGAAAATAATCTCCCAAGATGTGCTTAAATCCGGTTCGGCTATCGAAGTGTCGAACCAAAACTGGTGCCAACAACCCTCATATCATCTAGGGCTTCGCTTATATTATTAATTTGACCATCTTTGCCCGAAAGTTCAGCTTCTGCGACTACAAGTGCACCACGAACAATATTCAAAAACACTCCACTGGCGTCCGCCATGTTTTGTTACAGAAAAGCCAGTTTGAAATTAGCCGCTGACGCATTACTTGAGCCCGTCGGTTTGGCCAAATATTAATTAGGGCCGAATAAAAATACTCTGAGTTTGTGCGAGTCTACACGTCTGCCTTTCGATACAAGGATGGCTAAAAAAGCCAAAAAGTAGTAGAAGCTTAAATCAAGAATACCTTTACTTTCCCTTTCTGTTCTTTAGTATTACATGTAAATTCTTTATGAAAAATGTAACATTGCGTGGGTAACATTTTAAGAACTTACTAGCACATTTAAGAAGATCTTTACTCATGTGCTTAAGGATTATGTCAAAAAAAAAAAAAAAAAAAAGGAACACATTTGTTACATATTTATGAATTACATGTTTAGCTTTAGGTGAAAAGAAACGACTAGGGAAAAATCCCAAGTTGTCGGAAGTGTTATCACGGAAGGTAAAATGGAGCAATTTACCACTGGATTTGAGCACGCGATGTTACTATGACAAGGAAACGAACAACGATCTTAATGATTTTCTTTAAATTAACATTTCGCATCGGCGGTTAAGTGAGACGTCACGGGGGTAATATTATCTTTGTGTCTTTTTTTTTTTTTAGGAAGAAATAACACTTCGGCTCGTGTTATACAAACTTCCGTAGTAGAGGTCTTAACCCTTCAAAATGGGTAACAAAATAACTATAGATGTTAAAGTATCTTTCTAGCAATTAGGTAAGTATCTAGCTATTAAGGCCGGACACCCACGTTTAGCATAACTCTGGAAAGGCCAGCGTTGCAAAATTCGAGGCGGGGGCTTAATCATCTCTGTCAAACTCCAAATGAGGACAAGAGATTATAAACTGAGAGAACTTATCCCCATGACCCAGATTATAATTGGTGATGATCAGTTTCAAATTATCTAGCAGGGGAAATGATAATTGAGAACTTAATGATAGCAAATATTCGATAAATGTCGTCAAAAAACCCTACTGAGCAGAGAACACTAGTAACTTTGTCAACTCTTGTGCACGCCTTTAATACGAAATATTCCTCCGACAATGGCCGAATATGCATAATTTTTTGTTTATGGTCAGAGTTTCAAACGCTAAGCACAGATTGTTTGGTTCAAATTGAGATCAGTTTTGCTCGTAATATGTTTTGTTCTTCCATTTATGCGTTAAAGCTCCTGATTTTGAATGACAAATTCTGCCCCACCGCAGGGACTCTGGGTTAAACATCATCCCCCACGGTAAGGTGTGTTGTCGATCCAGATACTTCTGAACAATCCTTCATCGAGTTTTGATGTTTTTTTTTTTTCAAGTAGCGAGCCTTTGCGTACAAAAATAGCTTTTGTAGCAATGGCCTAAAAATGTAATCAATCCTAAAGCAAATGGGGGATCTCTTGACTATGAATACGGGTGTTCCTTTAGTCACTGTTACATACTACAACCTTTCGTAGGTTGAAGATATAAAGAGCTTCACATTATTTAAGATGAACTCCGTTTGCAGAGTTTCTACTTGGCTGTTTGGTGACTCCAATCTTATCTTCAGCGCGTAGATGTAGGTAACATTACCTCACAACATTGCGATGAAGAGCTTCACGAACACTCGTTTAACTTTGTTTGCATCAATTTTCTAAGCACAAACTGTGTAGGCAAATCACTCATGCTTGTGGGAATAAAACTAATGTTAAAGTTAAGTTTACTCCAAGACGATCGTCATGCAGAGGATGTGGTTGACGGAAGGAATGCCTTTCTCATCTACGATGCTCGTTATTTTTTTTCCTCCAATTTGAGCTTTTGCTCATCTCTTTTTTCCGTTTCTTCATTTTCCGTTTATTCGTGTTCTGTATCTTTCCCCGTATTCCTTAATAATTCTTTTACCTTTCCTCTTTCTCTCTTTAGTTTTGTTTCAACAATACTGTTCCAGCATGTAGAGATCATTTCATTATGCGTACTTACGTTGATTTATAGGTTTCCCATAAGCTATGTTCTCCCAACATCCCATGTGGCTTTATCACATTATAGAGCCCGGAAAAATGCGTTTCATTGCTTTTAAGGAATAACTAGTCACATGGGGGCTCTATAACCTGATAAATCATTCGCTTGCAACTGAGCTGACCATTCAGATGATGCGTACTATGTTAACTGTGTTTTAAAAAGAACTGCACCCTTAAAGAAGTCATTTCACAAATTCATGGTCACTCTTCAATTAAAGGTACCCATTATGCATAAATATTATTAAATATTGTTCGCTGTGGACTTATTTTACCACCATTATAGATAAAGGGAGAAGAAGGCTTCGTACCCCGAGGTCTACCTCAAGTGCTTTTAATTGACGTATGGCTGTCTTTAGAGGATTATATTCTTGTTGACTAGAAGTCTCTCTCGTAGTGTTTTTTCCTTCAAGAATTAAAAATATCTTTAGCCCTGAATCGAGAAAACGTGGAAAAATATACCTGGAGACGAAATAGAAAAGCATTTTCGGCTATTCAGCTGCAATGGCGTGCATAGCAGGCATAGCTTGGTCGCCAACGTTACGAGGTAGTTCGCTTACAAGTAGTGAAGCCATGCTCGTAGACACGCGTTGTAGGTTTCAGCGCCCACTCACCTTAAACGATAAAGAGACAGTACGACTAACAATTGTATCATTCAAAAACCTAAGTTTATATCACCTTAAATCCAAAAGCGCACAGTATAGATAACTCGAAGTCTGTGGCATGGTTAAAAAGTCTGAGGCAAATACGATGGCTTTCGTAATCCTGGCGAAATGTCCACGCAACACGAGTTACCTGAGTAAATAAGTAAGCCTGATCTCCGACCACTGAAATAAACGTGTATTTGTATCTAAGAAAAAAAAAGCTGAAATTCACCTATATTCATCGAACGACCAAATTTGTTCATCTTCTACCTTACCATTCAGAAACGACTCGGGCTACGCTAGACTGACAATGAAAATCGGGGATTATCATGGGAGGAGTTTTTAATCATAGTTAACTAACAGGAAGCAGTTTGTTTCTACAAGTTGTTAGTACTCAGACACTTTGCAGATAACATTTGGGGTACCACGACACTCTCTTCTTGGTTATGGAGTTATTTACATCGAGAGTATTGATAAAAAGATAATTGAAATTGTTCGATATAGTAATAACAATAATAATAATAATAATAACAATAATAATAATAATAATAATAATAATAATAACAATAATAATAATAATAATAATAAATTAAAATAATAAGTAATTTAGCAATGGACATTCCACTGGGTGGCTCTTCTTGTCAACTGTTTCCCGATCGAATTAAAATTTGGATTGTTGGAATAGCACATTTCGAGTCTAGTAAGGACATGTTCACTCAAATTTCGTATTCGCATGTTTATGAAAGTAATTAAAAAAAAAGAAACAAAAACAAAAAAAAAACAGAACAGAACAAAAGAAGATTCCAAACGAAACTAGAACTTGAAACCATACTTCCTTCCAGAGGAGTTAAAATTACTTATCCTCTTAATGCACGGATCGTCATGCAAGAGTGAGACTTATATTTTGAGATCCTGGCATGATGGTAGTTAAAAATTTAAAGCCTAATTTATCATCTCTATAATTCAAAGGTATAACGCCTAACGCAGACCTTATTTTAGTTACTTAATAGTTCATGTTTCATTTTATTGCATTATTTGTCTGTTTGGCGGTTGTCAGTTAATAGACAGTTTCGAATTCTCATACAATGACTCATCATAAAACTCATGACCCTGGATCTTCTGCCAAAATCTTAGTAATGCAGGCGAAACAATGACGATTTTTTTTTAGTTTCTGATTGATAAACCCTTTGAATGAGATTTCATGAAAAATCTTCAAACCGCACATTTCACTGTTAAGGCGCTTTTGCATCTACGAAAGTGTTTCTCTATTTTGTTGCTGTCGCTAAGCCGTTAAATCCCCAGATAAAATATCACCGATATTCCTCTCTAGACTGTTCTGTGTTACATCATGTCAACTTTAAAAGTTTCTTGTTTTTGACTGTGTTTTCAAGGTATTGCAACATTAAGGTTGGAACGGGAAATCCCAGCGCATCACGTGTGTATCACTAAGTTCTACTTCGCTGCTCAGTGTGTCATATCTAGTCATGTCGATAAACCCTTTGAAAGAAATTTCAGGAAAAATCATTTTAAACCGCACATTGCATTGTTAGGGCGCTTTGCTATCGACGAAAGTGTTTCTCTATTTTGTTACTGTCGTTAAGCCGTTAAGTCCTCCAAAAATATATCACATATTCCTCTCTAGACTGTTCTACGTTACAGCATGCTAACTATAAAAGTTTGTTCAGTTTTTGACTGTTTTCAAGGTATTGTAACATTAAGGTTGCAACGAGAAATCCCGGCCATCATGTATGTATCACTAAGTTCAACTTTGCTGCTCAGTGTGTCATATCTAATCACGTCACAATTGTTGTCCACAATGCTTGCAGCCCCGATAGAGTGCAAAAACAAGATGAGAGAATCGGGAAAATGTAAGTAAGATTCTATTCGCTGGCGCATTCTTCTAATCAAATTGTAAATTTTGTGATGCCTTTCTCTTGGAGGACGCTCATCAGCAAAGTAGCACTGTACAGAGCGTTTACTTGGGTTAATGAAGGGGGCATTGGGGTATATTAGAAACCGCAAAAAAACTCGATCAAAACCGAAAACCGCATGCAAAACCGTCTAAACCGATAAATTTGCACATCTTAGTGGTCAAAATCCTAATCATCTGATACTGTAGTTACAAGTGGAGCAACACAAGTTTCGCGGCTATTCGAGGTCAGCTGAGGCGTATAACTGCTGCTGAGATCGAAGAGAAACCGGAACCCCAATATGGAAAAATGGAAAAGCACATCGGATACCAAATCCAAGTACCCGTGAAAATTTTTGACGAAAACCGAAAACCAAATGCTGAAAACGGAAAATCCGCAAACTGCAGTAAACAACAAAACCGAAAAACCCACGGTTTTTTGGCACACAAACCGATCTAAAAAAATAGCTAAAACCGCAAACCCCAATGCCCCCCTCATTAATGCTGACATTTAAACATTTCTTGCTGAAAACTCGACTGAGATACATAAGATACATGTATTACACTCCCCAGGCGTTTCACGTATACCCAGGGATATCGCGTCTCAAAAAAAAAAAAGACACAAATCAGATCGATATAGATTTCGTAATTTGAAATCTAAGCTGAAACACGAGTTGAGCTGATCATTTCTTTCCCTTAATGTGTTTTCTTTATTATTATTCGTTAATTCCTTACTTCTCTCGTTCCTCGAAGTTTATGTTGAAATGCATGTGCATCTTACAGGCAAAATTTTGTTTTCGTTATAATCTTCTTTTCTTTTTCAGCTATAGCTAAGAATTGTGCTGAGCTGTACAGATGCGGCCAAACCATTAGTGGTATTTATACAATCGACCCTGATGGCTCAGGTGCCTTTGATGTCTACTGCGACCAGACGACAGCCGGTGGAGGATGGACCGTTTTACAGAAGAGGCTAGTTGACACTATTGACTTCAACCGCACCTGGGATGACTACAAAAATGGCTTCGGGGATTTTCTCATTCGAGAATTTTGGCTCGGACTGGACAAGATCCAACGTTTGGCGCCAAACAAAACAGAAAACAGACTTCGCGTGGATCTGGGAGTAAATGCCAGCAAAACTGTTCACGCAGAGTACGAATCGTTTGGTATTGAGAACGAGACAGCTGTGTACAAGCTGCACATTGGCAGTATTTCTTGTAAGCCGATCTGCTGTTTAATAGTCAATAATCATTGTCATAGTTGGTTATTATCAGTATCACCCTTTCTTGAAGTAAATTTTCATCCCCTTGTTTCCCAAACGACCCAATACCTTAAGAATTAGCGCGTGATTCATGTAAGCGTTTACATTTGACACTCACCAGTCCAACCCCCAAACTACCAACCTAAATACGAATTCAAATTCCCTGAGACTTGGCAAAGGTTCCAACCAAGAACACTAAGGCGTGGAATGTATAGAAAAATAGGCGTCAAATTTGACTTCGTACCATTGATGCTCGTGAATTGAAATATGTTCTGAAATATCTCCTCAGCCATTAGCACCATTTCATCCTTTTATACTCTTTGTAAGAGCCAAAACTGAGCTAGTGCTAGGCTTCTCAACATTTAAGAATAATCAATACCATGACTTTAGAATATATTTAAGGTCTTTTAAAATTTTTCTTTGTCCAGCTGCGACTGTTAAAGATTCTCTAACTCATCATGATGGCTTCTCATTTGGAACCTGGGATAGACATCCGGCAGTTCCTAATTGGGCGGAATTAGGAGGAGGCTGGTGGTATGAAAACAGCACTTGTGCTGTTTCCTCAAATCTCAACGGCATCTATCCTCAACATGGAACTAGAAGGAATATCTACTGGGCATTCTTAAGCCAACGAGCTGATGGAGCCACTCCCACAACATCTGAAATTAAAATCAGACCAGCGGACTTTTTTTAAAGCTTTTTTGCTAATCATTTGTATTCATATGTCATAGCTAACGTAAACTTTAATCGCCAAGTGTATGTAAACACGGAAAAAGTCTCAGGTTTAAACAAAGCAATTTTTGTAGAGGTACAGTGTGTAGTGTTGTCATGATCGAGGTCACGCTCCCCAATCACTCGTCGGTTGGTTGAGAATGATTGCGCCAGTTTTCTGGTGATCTTTCCGAAGGTTCAAAACACAATTGAATAGGAAATTAAAGAGATATCATGGAGAAATTTTGCAAAGTTCATCAGTTCTCGCGTTGATTCACATTGCCTATAAATACTACAATGCAAGTCCGTAATCACCTAAAAAAAAAGAAAAACCCACAAACCACGTGACCCTCCATCACCAACAGTTGGTTAGAAGAGACCCCGAATAAGTCAAGGGTGCGATTACTTTCTGCGTGTCTGCATTATGGCAGCTGATATGTCCGTTCCGTGATAGAAGAAACAGCAAGATGAAAACAATTAAAGGAA